TTTAGAAGCTTCCAGTCACCAGGTGAAAGGCACTGACGTGAACTCAGCATTAACAGTGTAATGGACACTTAGGCGATATGTGTACCTTGTGTCCCTCCGAGACCCTGTGAGGTACCTGAAGTAGCCCTCTTTTACCCAGGAGGTTCTGAGGTCAAGAGACTTTGAGAAGACTGTGGTACGTCACTCAGCCAGGGGCCAAGCCAGAACTAGAACTCTGGAATGTATGGCCAACTGCTTTCATGCGGGGTGATTGTTTCATCCTCTAGTGAGTAATAAAGAAATAATAACTTTCATGGGAAGTGAAATTAAGTCTCCTGGTACTATATTCATAGTAAAAATCATTCAGGTTTTCTTTAATGAATGTTTAATAATCAGCGTGTCTCTGCATGATCCCCATACCTCATTTGTAGTACTCTTGCATCCAGAATCTTTTAGCAGAGAACTTGACAGGTGGGGAAGTTTGGGTAGGAGGTGAGAACAGCAAATGCAAAGCTGAGACTAGATATCACACGGTAGATGCCATATACTCCTGCAGGCTTTGAGGAAACTAAGTAGTTATCTATGTGAACTAGCAGACAGAACTCCTAGGCCACACACTGATTCACACTGTGTGTGTGTGTGTGTGTGTGCATGCACGTATCTCATCCCCCACGGGATCCTTCATGGTTACTTGACCAGCATGAGTTTACCCCTTTTGTGGTGGTGGTTTTTCACTCTTCTTTTATCCTTGATTGTTAATGTCTTGGTAAGTGACTTTTATTAATATAGTTTTTTCTTAAGGAACACAAATAATATAAGATTTCATTTGGCTGGTATTTTTCTTACCAACATAGATGACCATTATTATTGGAATATTGTCATACAACCTATATAACTTCTTAACTGGAATGTGTACACACCTGTGCATGCATGCATGCACACACACACACACACACACACACACACCTGAACTGCCTTTTTTCCCTGTAATGATGGAAAATACAGACTCGTGTAGCTAAGAGAATTTTCTTCAAGTCCTAGACCCACGCTGTACCCTGTGTGTGAACAGTGTAGCATGGAAAGAATAGTAATTAGGATATGGATTCCAGTTCCCTGCCCTCCTGCCATTTTTAAACTTTGCTACCTTGGCGAGGTAAATAAACTGTGAGCCTCAGTTGCCCTTGTAAACCCAGGATAACCTGACATGTGTGGCTCAATTAAACAGTCTTGTGCAACATTGAAACCCATGAATAGTTAAATGAAAACCATGTTAATCAAAATTCAGTAGCTGTCGGTTGGATCGGCTTTTGCATGGGGTTGCATGAAAGCTGCTTGCCTTCCTTTCTGATAGGAACTCCAATGCGATGATTTCCTCAATTCGGTTTTCTCTCTTATGATTTTTCGGGTTCATAAATAAACTATACAGAAGCACTACCCTGGCATAGCATGGTTAACGGAATCCTAGATTAAGCCTTTTATAAAACAAAAATGCGTATGTAAATAATGACATACTGTTTTTCATTTAATTGTGTGTGTGAGAGAGAGAGAGTTTTCGGGTGTAGGGCACATCTGACTTGATAGCTGAAGGATGAGTTTCAGGCAGTCAGTCATTATCCGACCCTAGTTCTGGAATGTTCCATGCAAGTTCCTGTGCTTCCTTCCTACAGCTCAACACTGGTAAGCTTGCAGGGTGTAAGAATTATAGCCACACACCCTTATACCCCTTTCGCTGCACACTTTTTCAGTTTTTTACTGTTGTCATAGCTTACTTTAAACAAAAATCAAAATTTAAAAAACTTTGTCCCCCAAATTTCGACCATTTGAAGTTTCAGGATTCTGAGGAATAACCATATCTTTATTTTATTGATGAATAAAGTACTAAATAAATGTACAAATGTAATCTTTGTAACAAACTTGGAAGGCGGGAGGGGTGGAGTGAGTAAGGTTGAAAGGCAGAGAACGCCATCTGAGCCTCCAGTGTTAACCTGCCCAGTATCATAGGCATCCGTAGAACATGGAGGCGATAAACCGGAGTGGTTCAGAGAATAGACTGGATCTGAATCCTGTCTCTACCACTTTCACTACTTTGTGCCTCAGTTTCCTCAATATGTAAAAGGGGATAATGGTGCCTAGCATACAGGCTTATTGTGAGGATTAAATGATTTGATCTGTGTGAAGAACTTTCAAGCCTATTTGGCACAAAAATGGTCAATAGATATAAGCTATTATTGGTATAAAACTACAGAAAAAGAGCTCAGAAGTCATTCGGTTTGGTGGGATCTTTTGTTCTTCCTCTGCCTTCCCTGCTCCCACTTTGCTTACCTCCCAAACCACCTCTGCCTCCTATTTCTCTTCCTCACAACTTTAGAATTTTCAGCGAAATGTTTAGAAGAGAAGAGATGTGTTCTTTGGAGGGCGCCAAGCTTTCTGAGAGCCAAGTATACATGTGTCCAGTAGTAACAGGCTTTATGAATCAGGAAGCTTATTTCTTAAGAAATGGGCTTAACTTTTTAATGGATGGATCTCTTTGTACAGGTAGATGGAAGTTGGCTCAGTCATAGTATAGGACAGTTGAACTCTGGGATCTAAAGGATGAACGTAAAAGGAATGTCATGTACACTTTTAGGTGAGTTCACCTAAAAAGCCCACCTGTCTTCACCAACCTTTTGCATGAAAACATAATGGAAGTCAAAATCTAAGAGCAGCTTGTCCCCTCGGGCCTTCAGTGCCTTTGGCATGTCTTTCCAGGCTCCCTGCTCTTCACCCCTCCTAACAAGGCCCCACTGACCTCAAAGGGCCCTTCGTGCCAGGCCATGAAGCACATCTGAGCCCGAGGCCTGGGATTACAGCCAAAGCTGAATGAAGGTGCAAAATGTATGGCTAAAAAAAGCCCAAACACATGGCACTGGGTATAGCAGATAAGTTTGTTGGAAAAAATGGTTTATAAATAACATGGAAAGAGGAAAAAGGTAGAGGGGCAAAATATTGAGTTGTTATCCGATACTTGAGGTCAGTCTCACCATTTCTAATACTGAACCCCAAGGTGATGCACACTAAAAAAAAAAAAAAAAAAAAAAAAAAAATGGCCCTTCTGGATAAAATGAACTCTGCCTGGGCTTATTTTTAAGCCCAGTAAGCCAAATTCTTAAGCAGGATTCCTTTTATTTAGAATACATTGAAAAACATATGTAATTTGAAAACAAATAAATATAAAACAAAAGCAGGAAGCAAATCCCATGAAGGTGTTATGCTTTTCTGAGAATGGTCTCCAAGGCTGGGATGCCACAGAAATGAGAATATTAGGGATCTTACCAAAGTGTTTTCTCCTCCAAATCACAGCAGGGGATGGATGGACTAAAGACAGAAGGAATGAGGGGAAGCAGAGATCAGTCACTTGGGAAAGTTTTCTTTTTTTTCCCCCTTTCTGTTTTTGGCTTTATTTTATTTTTCCCTTGTCAAATCCAGAAGGGACCTGAATTCTGGGTCCAGAACTCCCAAGACCAGAGGGTCAGGGAAAGCCACTCAGCCTGGAAGCTGTGATCTTATCACCAGTCCAGATCCCTCCTTCTTCCTCCCTGGGAAACTTGTGCAAACACAACTGCCTGGTCTTCCTGTTCAGGGGCAAAGGTTTTGCTCCCTTCTCTCTGTTTTGGGAAAATGAACTTTGGGGGATAGCTTTTGCTGCTTTTTTTTTTTTTTTTTAAAGAAACAGAGACTTGACTTGTTCTTACAAACCCCTTCCCAGGACATGGAAACCACAACTAACTAAAGATGATGCGCTTAGACAAGGGCCAGCATGCCTTCCCCTGGAGCTGGACCATATTCCCCATCCACCATTGCCTCTTCTCCCCACCCTAGCCCACCACCATCTCCATCATGCTTTGTGGTTATCTGTCTGCCCCTTACTGTGAGTTATACTCTCCCAGGAAGAGCAACCCCTTGGCTCAGTGCTAGTCTTCCAAGAAGGGAATGAACCTGTCTTTTCTCCTTGCCAGGATTTTTTCTTTGCCAAAGAGGGCTGCGTCAGGGAGACTAAGATGTTCAGTGTTGCAGTGTATATGCTTAAAATAGTAATAATTTTCTGTCTTCTTTGAATCTCGTCTTCAAAATCGAGATGATGCCTTGAGTCAGGATCATATTGATGCAGTGTCCGGGGGTGTCAGGGAGGCTTCTATGATAGCACAGGCCGCCAGCTGGAGGTCAGGAGTGGCGCATGGTGATAAGGAGTGCCCTGTCCTAGGGCGCCTGGGTGGCTCAGTCGTTAAGCGTCTGCCTTTGGCTCAGGTCATGATCCCAGGGCCCTGGGATCGAGCCCCATGTTGGGCTCCCTGCTCGGCAGGAAGCCTGCTTCTCCCTCTTCCACTCCCTCTGCTTGTGTTCCCTCTCTTGCTGTCTCTCTCTCTAATAAATAAATAAAATCTTTAAAAAGCAAAAACAAAAAAAAAGGAGTGCCCTGTCCTTTTGCAGGAGAATTTCAAATTCAGACTCAGGACTTTTAGATCTTCTCCAAATTAATTTTGGAGAATTTTAGTTCATTTTAGCCCATTAATGGCGTCTAATGAGATCTTTTAGATTGGAAATTCTGCTCCTCCTTTTTCCTCCATGACAGCATAACCAATTTTCTTTCATTTATGGATTTGGTAAATCTGTATGCATGCCTTTTTTTCTTTTGGCCTTCTACCAAAGCTTTTATACAAAACCAAATTCAAAACCTTGTAACCTACCCTTAAAGATTGTGCCCCGGGCTGTTCAGGATTCTCTAATTAACTTCTTGGGTCGTTTGTTTAACTGTCAGTGAATTCACTTATCTTTATAATTATTCAGGCCACAGTAATATATTCCACTTACAACATATCATGAGAGACTACATCACTGGTCTCACTGAAAATGAGAAACATGAGATGAGCAACACTCCTCTAACAACAATCAGATAAGTCTTCCATGAGAGGAAATGAAGTACATTTCCTATAATGATTTGTTCTTAGTGAATCCATGTTGGTGACCTATTGTTTCCTCTCTAGGTACTCAGAAACCATCTAATAATTCATTCCAGAATGTTGCAGGAGACTGAGATTAAAGGTATAGCTTTAAGAATCAACCTATTAAGCCTATTCAAACATTGTGTTATCTTCTGTTTTTGTCCTCCAAAACTCCTCCCAAATAATCAGGAGTTTATTGGTCCATTTCATGTTTCCAGGATCTGGGATCAAACTCATCTGATCTCAAATGTTTGAAGTCATCGTTGGTTTGAGATTGTGCTTATTGTCCCATTGACTTTAGACTTGGGGGTTTTATTAACTACATTTATTCTGTACTCTTCAGTCTTCATGTTATTACCCTTGATTAAGAAGAAAACTCAGCAGTTTGCGTTTGCTTTCCCTTTCTTCTCAGAGTTGTCATCTTTTCTTGTTGTTTTCATATTATTTTAGCATTTTGTGAGATGAGACAAAATATATCTCAGCTTATAGTTTTAGCATTTAAGTGTAAAAGTTCTGGACTGTGGATTATTACATCATCTTAAAAAATAGTCTATAGTGTCTCTTTCCTCTCTTTCTCCGTGTGTGTGTGTTCATATACATGTACGCCTGCACATATGTACTTGTGTAGGTTTTTTTTAATTCTGTCTTTCAGTGCATTCTGAATATTTAAAAGTCGTTTGTACTACGTGTGAGATAACTGATAAGCTACTCATGCATGAGGTTTAATTTAAGGTGGAGAAGATTGCTTTGAGTTATTATTCTTAGAGTAAGTAACAAGTTTCAAAACCCCGAACTAAACATGGCAAATCACCAAATTTGGTTCCATTACTTGGCAAGACCCAGTGAAACCCAAGACCATTAAGTTCAGATGGAGAGAAATGGAGGTAAGAACATCAGAGCCAGAGAGGGCCAGCTGGAGGTGAAAACATGTGTGAAATGGCTCGGGGACCCTAGGAGTCAGCAGGTCATTGGGAAAATGGGGAAGGGAAAGGCAACATTAATCAATTACTTCATTCATTCATTCATTTATAAATGTTTATTGGGAGCATGCTGCGTGCCTGATGTCCTTGTTGGTGGAACTAGGATGCTGAGGGAGACAAAATGAGAAGGTGAAAATGAGCGAGAAGCAGTCAGTCTCTAACCTCAGCAACAGCTGGGCCAGTCCACATATGGATATGCTTTTCTATTCTGAACACACAACCAACCGAAGTAATAAGCTACAGACAACCTCTACTTTGACACATAATGTTTCAAAATAATAAAAAGACAGATTCCAGAAGTGTCTATCTGTAACCATTTGAAGAGGCTTAAAATTAAAATCAGAAAGGAAGACGTGTTTCTGTGGGGAAAGTTTATAACGTAAGGCTAGTGTGTAGTATGGGAAGACTGCTGTGTTGGCAGTGTGATAGGGATGTGGTCAAGGATGTGGAAACACAAATCCATTCGATATTCAAGAGCTACTGTCTCCCTAAACGCACCCACAGTTCATCAGGTTTTGCCACATATTGAGATTGCAAACCAACTATAGAATGTTAAAATGTTTCTATTACAAAATTGTACCTGGGTTTCTGCTGCTTAAATTCTACTGTGGGGAATGTGACTATAAACCAGCATCTAAAATAGGCAATTTTCATATTAAGAATCAGTGTTACTCATAACAATAGGGGCGTGTTACTGACATCCCAACAGGTAACTTAAAGATTTGCAGCATCAGAAACATAGAGGGGGCGCCTAGATGGCTCAGTCAGTTAAGCGTCCGCCTTTGGCTCAAGTCATGAACCCGGGGGTCCTGGGATCGAGCCCCGAATTGGGCTCCTTGCTCCTCGGGGAGCCTGCTTGTCTCGCCCTCTGCCTCTCTCCCTGCGTGTGCTCTCTCTCTCTCAAATACATAAATAAAATCTTAAAAAAGAAGGAGAAGGAAGAAGAAGAAGAAACCTAGCGCACCCATACCTAGAACTGACGAACTGACAGCCGCTTGCTCCCAGGAGGGCAGGAGTAAAAGGACTCCCTGCCCTCCGTGTTGGATTTCTTTATACTGCTGTGGGTGTGTTGCAGGGACCACAGTGGATTTCCCTGATGTAAGCCTCGCAACTTGTTTTCCAGTTCAGCTCAGTAAAATCTGAGCGGAAGAGAACTCCCCGTTGGCCACCCACCTCACGGTGTCTCCAGGGGCACTCTGTAGAAGCATTCCACATTAGGCAAATCTACAGTTCTAATCAAAATGAAAAACACTTGAGCTGAATCATCCCCCGTCAGCGCTAGCTCCCAGCCCTGATTTAAAAGAATGCAGGGAGCCCCGCAAGTTGAAGGGGTTTTGGCAGGCGAGGAAACAGCCGTAACATTGTCCGGGGTTGTCTGTAGGATCCGTGCGGGCTGTTGACAGCACTTAGAAGGCCCCGAAATGGGGCAGACGCTTTCCGCATTAGGTCAAATCAGCGGCAGCTGCCTGGTTCACCGAGTGAACGTTTGACCCTGTACAAGGCAAAGGGCTCTCATGGACCTTGTTCTGTCATTTCTCGGGTTAGGTTTTCTCCTTCAGAACCAGTGGGTAGGATCTTTGCCTTTTAAACGGCTTCATGTTTACTACAAGTGAGATGTTCTTTTCGCTGCAGCTGAAGGGAGGGAAGATGAGGAATGAGAACGGGTCTTTCCTGCTATCCCTCGGTGTCCACCGTTAACCCCCCGGGGTGGGGCAAGCACATCAGGAGCTGTTGCACCAAACCATGGACATGCTAGCTAGGGAGCCCAGGGTTCCCTTGGCACAGTTGTTTTCATCATCTCAAGGCCTGCACACCTGTCTCTCTTGAGAGTCTCTCCAGTCTCCTGCCCGGCCCAGCACCCTCCCATTATCCTTGCTGCCAGGGCATCCCTTTGCCATCCCTAACCAGGCCTGCCCTCCCAAAAGAGGTCCCTACCTTAGCCTTACCTCAAAACCTCGTTACGTGTTTCCCAAACTGATGGCCCATGGAAAGAATCAGATAAAATAATTTACACGGAGGTATAACCTGTTGAGTATTCTGAATATGATAAGGGGTATGAGCAGAGCATTTTAATAGGGGACCATGACTCACCCAAATGAATAAATCTCTAATGTTGCAGTTTCTGTTTTCCTGCACCGGATGGTATGGACATTTCAGGGATCCAAGGGACTCTTTCCTTAGCTGTTCAAGTCGTGCTCTCTGGGTGAATGCCTAACCCAGCTTCCCATTATTTTCTTTTTAAAGATGCAGCATTCACTCATGTCTTAGAAAACATTTATCTTCACACCTTTGCCAAAATTCATTAAAGTCGGTGAAAATAAAAAAAAGAAGGCTTTTTGGAGAACGGCGGGGGTGGGGGAGGCTAGCATTTTATTTCAGGTTGTGAGACCAAGTCCCCAACTGAACTGAAGAGCCTCCTTTACATCCTTCCCTACAGATTTATAAAACCTCAGAAAACTTCTGTTAACCAAATTCGAAGTAATACAAGCTGGATGGACTGATAGAGATACCTTAGTCGGCTTAATAAGGGTAGTAGCTGCCCTCCAGTAGGCGATGGTAAAAGGGAAATGATTTCTAAGATTTTCCATGAACGCCAAGCAGTTTGCAGTGGAAAACCTGGCCTCTACCCTCAAAGTTCTGTTACAGATTTGTAGTTGAGAAGCAAAGCCTGATTGGGGGTGGGGGGGACATCATTCTTACTAAAATTTAGCTAGTTAATTATGCAAGCATTATTTATTTTTACAAAGCAATAGACACTGTAAAAACATTGATAGAAATCAATATTGGATTTAAATTTTCAACGGCATGATTCCCTGTTGTCATTCTCTTGGATACAAATGCCTTGTGTCAGGTACCGTGTCCTGAGGTCCACACAGCAGCTTAGTAAAGTGCTTTGTGTAGAGTAGGCAACTAGCAAATGCTTATTTAATGAGTCAGTATAGTTTTGTTTTTGCTTTACTTTGCTTTCTCTGTTTCCCCAAGGATGTGAGGGGGTTAAGCCAAGGGAAGCTATCTCTTTATATAAACATGGATGTCAAAGTAACTATTTTTGCATAAACAAACACATTCAACTGATTTGGTAAACATTATATATCTATATACAGATATATAGGTATAGCACTGGGCAGCTGAAGAAACATAAGGCACTGTTACCTCACTCTTCCTTTCCTAACTGGATCTCAGACTTTACATTGGTAGAGCTAGCTTGTAAAGTAGCCCACCTGTATTTACTGGGCCACCAAAGGAGTGGCCCTGCTGGAGTTATTTCTGAACGCAGTGTGCTAGAACGTAGTGTGTGGGCCTGGGATTTAAAGTGAGGCCCCAAGAGATCATCACACACATTTTCCACTTGTGGGGGAATCCCCTTAGCTGGAAATAGATGGTGATTGCAGACACTCGATCCAAACCCCACTTCCTCTTCTGAATTGAGTAGGCTAATAACCATTCTTGAGGCTTTGGGATAGTGATGGATCCTCCTAATTAGGAATTCAGCTGCTGGTTTCTTAGAGTACTTTGAAGTTTAAGGATGAAAAGGGCACAGGACAGTAAAGTTACTTAGAACAGTCTAGTTCAGCTTCCCTCCTCCCAGCCACCACCCAAGACTGTACCTGAATCATCCTTAGAACATTAAAAAAAAAAAAAAAAAAAAAAACCCTTGCAATCCCCAGCCCACCTGTTTCTATTGGAAATTCTTGCCATCAGAGTTTTCCTGTGTATTTAACCTATGTGGCTCTTCATGAATGGTAAACATATTTGCGTTGCCAGAATTTTGGCAACATTTTGTCAGCATTTTGCTCATGAAAATCTATGTGGATTCTATCACATTAGCCTTCTTGGCTTCTAAATCAGAAGTTCCCAGACTTTTCAAATGTGATCTCCATTTAGTGTCAACTCCTATAGCCCTCGCATGTCTTGGCTGTAACTTTATTTACTGAAGTATTAGATGGGCCTTGAAGGGGACATGGATCTGTGGATCCAGGTAACTGCCTTCTCTGTGTTTGCTCTCTCTCCCACATAAGTGAATGCAGTCCCTAGTTTATGAATCAGTTTTGGATTAAATAACCCTAAACCTTTCATCATTTTTTGTACTTCTTACATGCTTTTTTTTTCATTTTCCTTA